TAAATAAAAAGAAAACAGATAGAATAGAAAAAGAATAGAGCAAGCTAGTGTTAGAGGCCTTTTTGCTTTTGTTAACTGTATAATAAATAAAAAGAAAAGAAAAGGAATAATATATATATATATATATATATACTTTTTTATATTTAATTAGCTTTAGTAAATTACAAAACTGTTTGCTCTCCATTGACATTAATTTTACGGTAAAAAATATCTTCATTTACGTTTTTCAAAAGAAATAAAATCATAGAAGTTTGGAGTGACACAAGGCTGAGTAAACGATGCCAGAATTTTCATTTTTGGTTGAACTATCCCTTAAAGGGTTCATATGATGCGATTTAAATTTTTCCTTTCTCTTTGAAGTGTTACAAGCTGTTTGAGGTATTCGGCCAATCATAACGCACTGGATAGCTGGCCAATCACAGCACACCTTGCTTTTCAGACCGATGAGCTTTGTAAAATCGCCGCGTTTCAGCAAGGCGGGGCATAGAGGAGAAACAATAATGTACAGTATGTGGAAAATAATGTGTTTTTTTTAACCTTAAACCGCATAAACACATTTCATTACACCAAATACACAAAATAATGTTCTTTTTAGCAACTTCATATGACCCCTTTAAAGTAAGGAAGTGGTCATTAAGCAACTCACAGAGGAGGAAATGCAACGTCTGCACCAAAATCTTGTGCTGATTCTCATGCAGTTGGACGCTTCGTTTGGCCTCTTCTATGACATCACACACCTCTCTGTTTCAGCCGTCTGTGTGTATCTCTGTGGAGGAGATGGATGCTGCAGCCCCTCCTCTCTCCGCTCTGCTCAGAAACTGGTGGGAAATGTATAATGAATACTAATGAATCCCCACCTCCCTCGACAGGTGTCTTACCTCCACCCCTCTCACAACTAACATCCTGTCCTCTCCTCTCTCCTTCCCTGACAGAGAGGAGTGAGCTACTGACATGTGATGTGAATTTAGCACACACAAGGCTCAGTGGAAACATCCTCTCCACCCTGAGCTCCTTCATTAGTGCTGATTCTTTAACAGACTGGACGAGTTCAATCAGGAAAGTCACAGTGTTCCAGATTTCACCATTCCTGTAAATTATCAGGAAACAGAGCTAAAGAGTAAAGAAACAGTATATCAGAAACAGTGTATGAATTTATTCTGCTATAATACAGAATAATACAACGCTGTTTTTAATGCTAATAACATAACAGAACAGAACAACAGAACAGAACATATAAATACCTTTTTTCATTCTGGAATATTTATTTAATTAGCTGAATTTATTCTGCTATAATACAGAATTGTTTTTAATGCTAAGATAAAAAAAATAATATAATATACAAATTATGAAAATATAATTTCAGTACCGTATTTTTTTCATTCTGGCATATTTATTACAAATAATCCTATTAAGACACACAATTCAGTCAGTAGCTTACTGTAACACAAAATAAAATATTTTCAATTTGTATGAAAACTGTCAAGAACATTTATAAAGCAATTATTGCTGTTAAACGATTTATCGTGATTAATCGCATCCAAAATAAAAGTGTTTGTTTACATAATAAATATACACAGTACACACATATATTATGTATATATAATACACACACATACAGTATATATTTTGAAAATATTTACATGTATATACATTTACATATTTATATTTTATGCTATATATAAATACATTTAATATATAAACATAACATATTTTTCTTAAATATATGCATGCATGTGTTTGTATTTATATATAAACACAATAAACATACACAGTATACACACTATGTAAATAAAAACTTTTATTTTGGATGCAATTAATCGTTTGACAGCACTAAAAGCAATCATAATGTACTGAATTTATTTTTATTTTATGCTTATCCTACTTTAAAAATGTTAAGAGTGATGTCATTTAAACGTACAGTTAATAAAATACATATTTTTTGCATGTACAATAATGGCAATAAAAATAGAGTCTCTGATGAAGAGAATAATATAAAATATAACTCTGATATTCTCGGTAACACTTAGTATAGGGACCAATTCTCACTATTAACTAGTTGCTTATGCATGCACATTACTAGCATATTGGCTGTTTATTAGAACTTATAAAGCAGATATACTGCATCACCATATTCTACATCCTGCATCCTCCTACCCAATACCTAAACTTAACAAATAGCCTACCTTATTAACTATTAATAAGCAGTAATTAGGTGCGTATTGAGGCAAAAGTCGTAGTTAATTGTTAGCTAATATTGAGAACTGGACCTTAAAATAAATTGTGACAATATTATCTTTACAGATTTCGGTTTTTGGATTGAGATTCTAGTATTCTCAGATCTGGCTGAAGACGTTTTAAAAAAAAACGTAAATTATTAAACATGGTGCCAACATTTGACTGAAATTGTTCCATGCTGCTCAACTTTAAAATCAGGCCCAAGTCTAATTGTTTATCAACTGGTATATAAAACAGTGTTATGTAATGATCAAATTAAAATGTCTTTAGTATTTATTGTGTGAAGCTTGACTGAGCAAGTTAATATGCAAATAGTAACACTTCGTTTGGATTCATTCTTCTTGGCAGAGAAGGTAACGGCCTGACACGTGTTTTAATTATGTTTCTCACTTCAGTGCCCAGATATTTGTGGATGTCAACGCAGCGGTGCATGAAGATACGATCCGATATGCCAAATAGTTCTCCTACAGCAGATTATTAATTCCACATCTGAATAACTGCTATTTGATTTGTTTGTTATGTTCTGCATAAAAAGGTCAGAGATTTGGTTTCCCATCAGTTCGTTACATACTGCAACATCGTGATTGCACGTACAAACAGCACTTACGGTCTGTGTAGAACCCTGTCTTGTGTTGTCTGTCCCTGTGGAGGAATCAAACGAAGTCTCAAAGACATTCCACATCTGCTCTGAAATTATCTGTCGCAAAAATCTCATTACAAAAGAACGTTATACGCTGCTGCCACCTGGTGGCTAGAATACAAACTGCTAAAAAGACTCCAGAACGTTTTGTGAACGCGCAAGCTTTATTTCATACAGGTTTTTACCTACAACTGAATGCCTTTGAAAGACAAAAAAAGAGGGTTACATTCACTCAGTCCACACGTGATAATTAAATAATCAGCAAAAGATAAGCTTCACATCCTTCATGTATTTCACAATCACTTGTGCTTTTGAACTGGCAGTTTGCTTTACATATCACACAGAATAATAGAAACACACAGAAAGAGTAAGCGACTTGTGGAACATGAAGCTACAACAGCAGGCCATCAGAGTTTTCCTAGAAATGAACAAAAATATACAATTAAGACAAAAATGGAGCAGGATTTACTTGGAAATAAGTTTCACTTAGAAACTGCTCTAGTAAATCTGACAAATATTAAAAAGAAACATACATAACACAGTGAATTAAACATGGAAGTTTGATGTAGAACGACCGTTTTTGTAAAATGTACTCCAAAAATAATTTAGAAATTTTTACAACTTTCTAAAATATTTTTACTGTGTATCTATCCATCTATCCATCTATCTATCTATCCATCTATCTATCCATGAACAGCTTAGGTTTATCAGCTGTCATTCTAGGATCATTTACTCACCTCAGACCCTTTACAGCACGTACAAATCGAGAAGATACTCCTTAGGCACGATTCCGATGGCCCCTTTCATCTCCCCCACCCACCAGCCAAACATGTCATACTCCTGTTAAAAAAATTTTTTTTTTTAAATGATAACCAACGTTCATTAAACTCACTCACTGTTGAGACCAATCAGTGCAGTGACACAATCAGCGAGGTCAAATCTCATAGGTCAACGCTCAGGGGAATGAAATCTGTCAATATATAGTTCATTTACCCGCTCATCTTCAGGTTTTACTTCATTTTCATCTCATACTGTCTCTATCCGCACATCCCTACCCCCCATTCTGTCTCCCTCCCAACCTCCTGTCTGTCTTTCCAAGGCCAATTGAAGGACACAAGGCCCATAGGACCTATAAAGATTACACAAGAGAATGTGAACGGGCGATATATTTCGTATGAAGCACAACAGATCTGCGAGCCCGAGGACAGAGTCCTTTTCTCCCCGTACAGAGACAGATCAGCTCTTCTCCAGCTCATGGAAAAGATAACCATAAAGATAAGAAGCAGATAAGATCCGTCCATCCGTCTCTCTTTCTTTATTCCATAATTACAAACAGATCACACGGTGCCATTCACTTCAAAGCCACTAAACCCTGTGTTTTCCCCACATCCACGATACTTCTCTGTTTCTCACAGATGCCTTCTAAACTTTGGGGTTATACTGAGGCAGATCTATCACGCCACATCTTGCTTTCTTTCAAAAAGGAGAATGGAGGGAAGCAGGGAGAGGAGACTGGACTGAACTGAACTAGGGACACACTGGGGTCTGGGGACCCCCACTGAACTGCAAGTGGGTGCTGGAGGGTCCACCAGAAAATGTACAAAATTTTACAAAATGTATTTTAGGGCCGTCAACGTTCATGTGTGCATAATATCCAAATTTGGTAATATTTCTATTTTATCCTGCTTTCTAAACATGGTCAGAAATCAAGAGATTAATGCAATTATCTTTATTCTATTGACAGCGCTAGATTTTCACAGTTAAGAGAAAAAAATCTGAATACAGCTTTGCTAAATAATAATTATAAGGAAGTAAATCAATTAATAAATAAATATGGAATTCAAATATATTAAATGTAAAAAAATGTATTAGTATGTTAATTTCAGATACACTATCAACTTAATAAAAAGTAACTATTTTAAAAGCTATAACCAATTTAACTGATTTAAAAATAAAAAAATATATAATATAATATAAAAGACAATTATACACACTACTATTCAAGTTTTTGAAAAAAAGTCCAATGCAGGCTGCATTTATTTTATCATAAATAGTTAAAACAGTAATATTGTGAAATATTATTAGTTAAAATGAACAATCATTCTAATAAGCTAATTTGGTGCTCAATAAAACATTTTTTATTATCAATGGTCAAAAAAAGTTGTACTGCTTAATATTTTTGTGGAAACAGATACTTTTTTTAGGATTCTTTGATGAATATAAAATTCAAAACAACAGCATTTATTAAAAATAGAAATATTTTGTAACATTATAAATACATATTTACGCTACTGTAATCTCAGAAACAATTAATTTGTTGTTTTTAAAATCACACTTAATTTAAACCAATTTATACGCTTGAAATATAGCAGCTGCCTTATATTTTAGGAAGGGGTCCAGGCATTCATCATATCTGGGAGTCCATGGCATCAAAACGTCATATCAAAAATCAAATCAAAAATCCTATACTAATTTGCAAAGGCAGAACACAGTGACACTTTTCGTCAAAATTGAGTTATGACTGAAATGGGGTCTCTATGATCTGTCTATGTGACAGGCAGGTTTGGCTCAATGTAAACAATAAAGTAAAAACACTAACTCAATTACAGTTTTAGCTTTGGTGTAGTTCCTGTGCTTTGCCTTTGTAGGGCAGTATAGAGGACCTTAATGGGGCCCTCACTCATCAGGGGGGCCCAGGTTGCCAATCTGCAACCTCAGCTCTGCATGTTTTTGAAAGTTCCCACATAAACACTCATTTGTTGTACTTGAAAAGAACGGTCAGCTACATTGAAACCCCGAAACATCTCGATCCAGTGTACTCTGACAGTGTACTTTTTTCTCTCTGACATTCAAGTCTTTGATCTCTCTAAAGCTGACAAGACACTCACTGCTCGTCACACCTCACCGTCGGAGAAAAAAATCTCTCTCTGTATGGTTCAGAAAGAGCAATGAGGTTTGAATCATACCCCAACTGAAGTTAAATATGAAGTTTGTGGGCCCCTACTTGACCCCGGCAGCCTAAGTGATTCCTGCTGTATAATGTATAGTGCTCAGCTCCGGCCAGCAAACCTCTTACTGCCTGCGTGCACGTATCTGTCTATAAAACACAGGTCTGGTTATGCAGCTGCTGACAGCTGCCGCAGACACACATGCTGTAATGGAGAGCGTCTCTCCACCGCCAACTGTCCTCAGTGTGCACTGTCCTCCTCATAAGACTAAAAAGAAAAACTTTGCTGAAAGACCACAGATTTCAATAAATCTTTCGTTATCTGTAAAGCTTAGATTTGGAATATAATTTAGAATATATTCCATGTATATGTTCTAATAAAGTTAGGACTGTAGATCAGGTGTTTTTTAAGCTGCTTGTTTTCAGACTTAACAGAAACTGGGAGCATTGATATATTAAATTAATTGATTCCAGAAATTTCAAGACCTATATGTTCTTCAGGAAAAACAATTAAATTAATTACATTTCATTTCATACCTTGATTTTGTGCTCTTAGCATTTTCATTTATAGTTATTATTTTAACATATACATTTAATATATATGTTATAACATAATTAATATACATACATAATATACATTTTATATACAATGTATATTACAGTTTATACATTTTATATATATAAATATAATGTATGTTATGTATGCATATTAAATATATTATAACATATATATTGAAATTTAATGATTAATAATTATTTGTAATTAATTAACATTTTTCCTTATGATGCTTAATAATTAATACATTTTAAATAATAATCTTAAACATTTTTTTATTAAAAATATGTTTTTAATGTTGTTTTATACAATATTTTACATGTATATACATATTAGTTAAATATAATGATATTTAAATAATATCATACTATTTTTTTCACATAGCATAAGTTAGTCTCAATATATATAGCATCCTTTATATTTTAAGAATGGAGTCCTTTGCAAAAATGATATTCATCATATTTAAGGGTACGTGGCATAAAATATTTGAAAACCTCCGCAGAATATAACAGCCAAATTATGCAAGTAATATGAAAGTGACATGTTAAAAGTATTCATTTTTAAAATCTTACTAAAACATTTTGAACAATATTGTAATTTCATAAACAAATGATTCTGCTGTCTTTAAAATACATATGAAAGCAAAACGTGTTAATGTCCAAGATTCACACACCTCAGGTCGCCAAATATAGGGCAGTTGTCCAGGCTGTGTGAAACAAGACAGGAAGTGCACATGTGAAGGGGTGAAGCGGAAGCTTCCTGTAGCCGTCCTTTGATACAGACACACCTCATTGACAGAGCAGCGCCTGGTGCCGTGTGTGTGCGAATATGTGCGCGTGCAAGAGAGTCAGATTAGAAGGTGAGGGTGACAAATAAGTCTGCAACAGGAAAGCAATGCAGACCTCACACTCCTCTTAAATGCCCACACACGACTATTCAGCGCCTATCTAAGGAAGCCGACATGTAAGGTCACATAGACTTCCTAATTTAGCATTTAGCAGACTAAAGTGACCTTTGAAATATCTTGATGTAAGGTGAATAATTTAAATCCTGCATGATTAAAATTTGCATATTATGCCACTGAAATGATGTGGGTCTTTGAGGTTTACAATGCTTCTGGACCCCAGACGGACCATGTGACGCACTATTTTGACCAAGCATCATTTACAGCACACACTGGCCTGCTTTGAAAAGAAGAGTGTGGTGTGTGTGATTTAGGGCCCTGACACCTCCTCCCGGTCTGATGGTCAATACCTTCTGAATGGCCTGTGAGCCACAGCTGGACACTAAACCCACACCGGCTTTACGGTCATCCGCAAGCCTGGCTGAAGGAGGGGGGAAGGGGCTACGCTACAAAAGAGTGCCTGCAATATTCATGGTAAACCAAGCCATGTAGTACCCATAAAATGGCACAAATACGACACAGCATCATTGGACTGTGTCAAGCAGTTCTTTCCCAGCCTCGTTTGGCAACATCCAGGGTTTAGGCTTATCTCTTTTATGCAGTGCAATACATTTCATGCATATTTCATAAAAATGGGATTTAATGGTGTGGGTTTTTTGTTTAAAAAGTGCCCT